ACAATAAAATGTAAAATTAGTAGGAAACTGTGCCAGATCCTAGAGCTCAATTTCAACTAGATACGTCTCTGTTTAATAAACATTGCGGCAACATTAAATATTAGACAGAAGGGTATTGAGGTTATATGATGTATGTTCAGTGGTGGTGTCTATATACAAAGTGTTTTACTTCCCAGACATTGCCGTTAAGTAGCTTTATTCTATTGTTATCCATTATGGTGGAAAGGTATAGGGACTGGGAATCATTTTTTAGGGTGCACTTTTTTGTGTTGTTAGCAATAGAGAGCTTTGGAAATATATATTTTCGTATGTGAAGAATACGATGAAGAATAAATAGTACCTCGCTACAACACTGAGAGTTTTTCGTTCATATGCAATTTGTGTGACACCTTCTTTATCTTTACATAATAAATAGTTCTTCGTCATAATTGAATATTGTTTGCATAATATTTGATAAACCTTATTTAAAAGTTGAATATACCAAAAACGGGAACGTTGTAAGCGCAAAGTTGATACCTAAGGTTGATACCGCTTATTCCTCCGTAAAGTAACTGAAACTGTTATAGTTAATACAGTAGTTAAGAGTCTGTCATTTAAATATTGTGCATGCTGACTAACAAAGTGACAAAATATGGGGCTTAAAATCCTCATCATTCGACTATCAAATAAAGCTCTATTTCCGATACCCGAGCCGATACCTTGATACAATATTCTAGAAAAGAACTAAACACAATTTACCATTAGGCAAAATGCCGCGAGGCAATTTCCAAAACAAAAGAACACTTCCCACTCTAATCCTATTTTATTTTTAAAGCAGTCACGTGACGCGCATACTTATCTAATTTTCCATTTTCTTTTTTAAAACTTTAACTTGTTTCTCAGTGGGTAAAGTTTTCATTTTTAAAGCGGCTCTCGTAATAGACTGTAATTTTGTTTTGATAGGAAATTTTTAGTTAGAGCATCTTTATCACTTCACGCAATTAAAAAACTTGTTACTTTTGGCTTTGAAAAAAAGTTTGCGGATTGAGTAAAGAACAAACTGCAAGTTTTTCAGAATGTTTATAATATACCTTATTTGAAAAACGCCCACTTTTCAGTCTTTTCGAATAAATAACTAAATAGCTATACCTATACAGGGAGTTTCACGAACATCGAAACGGAGGTGTAAAGTATTTTAAGGTCCTTTTAAAAAAACGCTCGGACACATAATTTTTGTATTCAAGGGGGAAACTTTTTGACCCCATCGGTATTTCGCTAGGGTGCACCTTCTGGGCGGGGTGACTTTCACCCCTCTTTTTTAGATAGGGCAGATGGGTAGCGTGCGGTACCTTGTTTAAAAGGTATTTTGATTCTTGTCACAAGTGCGTTTTTTTTATTTTTTAAATCGTATGATTAGTTCTCAAGATATTCACTGTCAAAGTTCCCATGGGCTAAATAAGAGACAATTTTTTGGCCCTGTTATTCTCATATTACCACTTTTCTCTCGATTACGTCAACTTTCATTTTTTGTGTGCTTCTGAAAAAATACATTTAAAACAAGGTACTACTCGACCCATCTTCCTTATTTTGAAAAGAGGAGTGAAAGTCACCCTACCCGAAATACCGATGGCGATGGATTCAAAAAGTTTCCTCCTTGAATACAATCCTTTTTTTTTTCAAATTTTATATATTTTATTTCTGTTTTTGGTAACCAAAATAAATAAATAGGTAGGTACCCAAAACAATTAGGTACAATAATTCACCATTACCATTATCTTAAAAATACCAAATCCTTCAAGCCTATGATTCTTGGGTAATAAAAAATGATAAAATAGTAAAAAATTCACTGATACTGAAAAATGAATTATAATACTGAAAAATACCCAAATACCCAATAAAAGTATCGGGTATTGATATTAAAAGTATCGAACCGGTACAGGTATTCAAAAGTATCGAAACTTTAAATCACTACTGTTTAGACTTCCAAGTAGGTATACCTTGGATGCCTGCTAAGGCACAGGATCGAATTATATGTCACAATTTATTCAATTAAAAATAAATTCCTTCTCCGTTGCATTTCCCTTGGTATTTCCATGATGTGACGCTAGATGCCGACCTCAATTTATCCAGTTCAAATGTTTTGCAATAATTAGGTATCAGAGAATATGATAATATAGCAGCATATGTAATAGTTATTTGTGCAACCAGTTGGGAAAAGCACTATTTTTCATAACGCGCAGGAATCTTTGTTTTGTATATTATGATTTCTAAATCGTCAAGTTAGTTCAGAGATGTTTCCTATTCCGTTGTTATGGAAGCCAGTACTGTTCAGTGTCAAGTTTGGCGACTCAAACCGGTCATTGCTTTCGGCGATCATCGACTACCCACTTTGCTTGTAGATTCTATGGCTCATTTGCTGAGAATTAAATAGCATGGGGGTGGAAGTCTAATACAGCCACTAAGGGCTATGTGGAGAATTCCATAACTATAATAAACAGGAAATTGTCACCAACATCCTTGGAGAGACTTCCATGGAAAAAATATTCAATTTATTCATTTAAATAATGCTACACAGAAAACTATGTTGTCAATATCATCAATAATTGTTCAAATTGTGTTAAGTATTATAATTTATAACTAATTAGTTTTTTTTCCATACATTGTCATATAATGTAAATAGTTTGAATAAATTTAAATCTTCATAATATGTACGTACAAAGAATATAATAACAACAAAGTACTTTAGTTCGTAGTTCAGCCCCAAAAGTATCACAGATTATGTTCATGTAATTTTTGCAACTAATGGTGAAATTTACTTTTCATCACCAGTTACGAAAAATTTTACTTTTCGTAACTGGTGATGAAAAGTAAGGAATTTGATAACGTCAACGAGATCTGAAAAATGTCACATTAAATATCAAAGTTAGAAAAATGTATTTTCTCCCACGATTTATCCATTAATCTTTTTTTTTTCATATAATTTGGGTCAAATAGTATTGAAATTCTTCAAAGTTCTTGAAAAAAAGTCAATTTTGAAAACTCTCCTATACGTTATTACGTTGTTTTATTTTCTTATTTCTCTCTCGAAGCAATTACTATCGCGAAAATATTTATTGTCGACAAAATAGCTTTTCTGACTTGATTACGTTTCTTCTAGCAAAAAGAAATTAATTTCCTATCAAGACAAAATTAGGTACCCCTTTTTAGAAGAACCGCTTCGGAAATTTCATAAAGAGGAAAATATTACGCTCGTTGCTGTTAAACAAGAAAGTAGCAAATAGGTATTATTACTATTATTAGGCAAAATAATTTACCTATACTCTTTAATTTTCATTCATTGATGCACTTAAGAATTTTCTCGGGGCCGAAACCGAGACTTTTTTCCGAGACCAAGAACATCTTTCGAGTTAAATACCTAACTGGATTTCAGTTAGGTAGTGGTGCCGCGAGACGAGACTAGACGAGACTTAGGGTTGACAATATGTCAGAGAATTAAATTAAATACCGAATACCCATGTAATTACCTGAAGAATTCGAAGGTGAATTTTCACATCTACCTCTTCATATTACCAAGAATAATGCTGGAGAAGGATTTTCTTAATTTAATTATTTTTCTAAGGTTTCTCGAAGGGTCCTCTACTACGTGGAGAGTTTTTACGCTATTTTTCGGACACCCTGACCCTGTATTTATGGTTTTTATTTTTATATTATAACGGGAGTCCAAACTGCCACAGTGAAAAAGCAATTAGTGAAAAATCACAGTGAAGAGTAACCCTGATATATAATTTACTGATTTAATATTCAAATAGCCCAGAATAGTTAAATAATAAAGCTATGAAAGAAAAATTTTAAGTGTAATCTCGAGACTACACGAGACTCTCGCCGAGTCTGGTCTCGTCTCGTCGAGACTTCACGAGACGAGACCAAAAGCCAGTCTCGTCTCGAAAAGTCGAGACGAGACGAGACGAGACCAGTCTCGAGTCTCGCGGCATCACTACAGTTAGGTAATTAACATTAAAGAACTTTTACCAAACTATACTAGAATCTGCGAATAACGGGACATTTTCGAGGCTGTCGAGACTGAGACCGAGAATACGGGCCGAATTTATAGGCTTCCTTGGGCGTCATTAGTATAGAATGGATACTTTTGCTACTATTTGATCAGTCAAATCTTAACGTCCAAGGCTTCCTTCAAGATCCAAGGAAATCTCTAGGAGCGACTATAAATTCAACTCTCAACTACTCCATACCGAGACCGAGACTGTACACGGTGTCCCCAGGGCCGTAGCGATATGACTACCTCTAGGGGGGAGACTGAGATCCGGCGCCCCCTACACAGAAAAAAAGAATAGTTGAATCAATTTTTTTTTACGTTCTAGTAAGTAAATATATGTTTAATATATTCGGACTACACGTGGATTTGAATATACTTCATAATTTACTTGTAGGTTAAAATACAAATTTCTTGAAAAGAGCACATAAATAGTTAATCATTATTTCAAAATTGGGGAACTAAAAGTCGACGTTGTTGAAGCACTTTCCTAGTGTCTTGACTCAATCATGTGAATAATGTTGTTCAACAATATAGAAACTTAGTATAAGTAGACTATGTTCAAGATAAGTTATTGACATTGCTGAACAACTAAACAATTCTAATTAGATCAAATGAGTAAATACTTAACTGAATTATGTGATCAATATGAAAGTAGTTCTTGCATTATTAAGTGTACCTCGGGCATTTTTGTTGTAAGTACTAATAATAATTGTTGCAAGTAAATAAATAGCTCATATAAATAATCAATGACTTGCCATAAGTATTTGATACAGTGTGTTTTATATAAAAGCGCATAGAACAGGGATCTTATAAACTTTAAAAAAAACGAGTTGAAGTTAGACAAATTTTTTTTTTTTTGATGTCCATTATTTTTTAAATAATGGGCATCAAAAAATACGAGTTTGTTCTAATCAACGTTACCCGTTTTTTTTTTTAAGTTTATAAGATCCCTGTGCTATGTGCTTACATAATACACAGTGATTTTTTTTAACGCATACGTACATATCATTATGTGGCATATCTATTTTGTTTATAAATTTCCTGAATAAACAAATATTATTAAAATATTGGAAACTGTGGTTTCTTACAGAATATTCACCATACGAGTAACCTATGAAAACCCATCACACTTGTAGGATTTTAAAGGCTTTCTTTTCCCAAATAAAACTCTGTTTTGTAGAAAAAACTTAGGTATATTAAAACGATATAAGAATATTTATTTCCTGATAAGTTAATAAGGAACAAAATAATGGGCAAATCTGAATCTTGTTGAGTCGATAGTTGGGGATTTAATAGAGAAGTCACTGTCGTAGTTTCTTTATCAGACTCTAGAGTAATAGCCACTGTCTGATTGTCTTTTTCTTCAACTTGTATTTTACTTTGACGTTCGTAATTTTCTTCTGATGTCCATTCTGTTTCAAGCGAGGTTTCGTGCTAGAAAAAAAAAAAACATGCTGTCTCTTTTTGCTACATTATAGCTGAATATATTTATGTCAAAAAACTTAATTAAAAACATTTGCTTCTGCTTTATTCATATGAGGCCATCTTCCTTCTTTTAAATTATGAATCCCCCTTCTTAACCGAACTTTGTCCCCTATAGTCCCCATTCTTTCTTCTCTATTTTCTGCTCAGAAAGCAGACCAAGTTCCGTAATGTTTTGTTATAGAACAAATAGTTAACATTTCCTTTTATTTATATTTTAAAATGAAATAGAATAAAATTTTGATTTTAAGAATTAGTATAGTAAAATACCTGTTCCCAAGTTTAGGAATTTCTGAGTGTATAAATATTTACTTGAAATAACAACTCCAAAAATTGAATTAAACATCCAACGTATGTGTATCAGTAATGGTCTTCTACGTATTCACCAAGGACGAAAACTAACCAGGCCATTTTTATCACAAAAATTGGGCTATTTTTATCATAAATAATTGAATATTTTTTGAGCTGTCAACTATCTTTGGTGACCAAAAAGACCAATATTAAATATTATATCATTATCATAATACGCATAGGAATATACGAGATTAAATATTGATTCAGATTTTCTACTGCTATACATTTTTTTCCTATCTAGGTAAATGCGGTTTTAAAATCTAGTTACATACCTTCGAATGTCGTAGCCAGGTGTATCAAATTGTTATTGTTCAAAAATTGCTCCATTTTAGATTGCACAATCACAAATTATTCACAAACGAACCAATTGCAAAATGACTGGAATAGTTTGGTTACCGGCCGGCACTTCCACTGCCACCTTGTGCGTGGCGCGTGCTGGCTGGGTATGACGGCGACGCCAGGCGCAAGCGCAAAAGCAGCAATTACGCATTTTATTGAATAAAGATTTCAAATAATTGAACCAAGCATTTATTAATTTCATCACCAACACAAATAATTGAATACCAGTTCCGTGCTATTGAAACACGTTTGCTGTAATAGGTATATGTAATTACTGGATGTTCTTAAGTCATATTGGTGCATTTACTTAAAAATAATGTATTAAATTGTACAGGCAACTCCATACATATTTACGGCGAGTTTACTTATATATCAAATACATGACATATTTCAATAAAGTCTGTAATACTTTAAATTAATAAAATATAGGTCAACTATTTCTTTAAATTAGTTTGAATTGACGAATTTGCTTAAATTGAATCGACTTTATTTAGGTGAATAACGCATATATTTTTTTCAATTAAATAGTTGTCAATTACACGATTTATTTGTTTCGGATTTTTTTCTGTGTAAGCGCCGCAAAGCCAATTTTTTTGCAACTTTGACAGACTTCAAAACTTAAACGGTTAATTTTAGACAGGAGCAAAACCGAGCTGAAATTATTATCTTAGATTTTCATAAATTATCATTGGATACCATATTGATGCCAACTTTGAAATAAATCCATGACTGAAAATTCCTTACAGCCAGGCAAAGTTGCAAAAAAGTCAGTTTTCAATTAATAATATTTCCAAAACAGTTGAACTTAGATATAGGAATGTGTATAGGGTTTATCACAGGAGATTTGCGCAGAATTTTACCACAGCATATACAAAAGCAAACAGCAGGTTAACTCTCAGGCGCATCTCTTCTGCGCACGCCGCCATTCGAGGATACAGCCTAACACGGCTACGGCAACAGCACAACATTTGACGCGCATCTTTTCTGCGCACGCCGCCATTTGAGGATACAGAGCTCGAGTTAGCCAGCTGATTGTTTTTGTATAATATGCTGTGATGCTGTGATTTTACGTCGAATCCGTATATTCAATTATATACAGGCTATTCCATTTAAAATAAATTGGACCACAACCAGCTTTTCCGAAAAACCCTTTATATGCAAAAGTAAGTTTAAAAAAAAAAATTGTTTCAACTACAAAACCTAAACTCTCTTTCTAAAATGTCAAAAAAAAAAAGATAGAGGGAACATTTATAAACAATAACCCTGTATAGTCTGGCAAGTGGTAAGTTGATAGAGACGAAAGGGGGAAGAAAAGTGGGGCGTAACCTAAGAATATTTACTGACACCTCAACTGACACCGCTCGATGACAGCCATGTCTTTGGGTTCAGTGCCACCGAAAACACCAAGGAAATGAACCAATAAAATTATTTTTTTTTTTCAAGTTTCACCAATAACCACGCCACTGTGCTGTCGTTCACGCTCTAACCAATAGAATCATGCCTCTGAATAATCACGCCTTTCCACATCCATCATTTCGCAATGTACCGTTGCCGGATTTTTTTTAATTTCCAAATACTACACATGCCCATATAGCAAAAAAAGATATGTCATCAACTTGTTTATTACTGTTTCCTCCAAGTTTGGCAAAGCAGCAAATTCTATTGCAGTTCGCCGTTTGGCTAGCCAGACAATACGTTACAATGTCACTTACATCACTGAAAGCTGAGTCGGTGGCTGGGTTCAATAATTGCATCTGCGAGCAAAAGGAGCGAATTTTGACGGACGTCATGTGATCACTTATCCACCACTTATCTTTTTTCACGTGTCAAATCACGTGACTTCTGTCAAATTTTGCTCATTTTGCTTGCAGACGCAATTCCCATTGATTAACCGGTGATTCACCGAGTTTCCGTTGCCCCGTTTTGATGGAACTTTTAACTAGGGCGTGTTCACAATAGAAATATGGAACTCTTGACAAAAGCGTGTTCACAATAACCAGCGGGGCGTGTTCACATTATAATAGTTGTAAAATAGTATTTAATTACCTACTCAGAAACTTGCCTTTTGACTATTTTTTTTTTCATTTTTTTTTTCACTTTGCCTATTTTGGCGCTTCTGTGTCAGCTGCGTCCTGGGGGGGAGGCTTCCCCGTCTCCTCCCCTATTGGCTACGCCCCTGTAATTCGAGGGTGACCATTTACCGTTTTGAAATTTGAAAAATTCCGTATAGGTACCGAAGTTTTGCAAAATCATTTTTATTTTTTCCTGAGCCTATTTGAAGAGCAATTTTAAAATAAATGTCACTTCATCATTGTCACTTTTTCCCCTTCACAAGATGTTGCTACTAAATTTCAGATTCACGTTTCGTCTTTGGGCGGCCATCATCAACTTTATTTTTTTAAATGCGGACCCTTATTTTTTATTTTCGATTTTATGAGCTTCTGATGTCCCAAAATCTATGACGTATCGTATTTTCTCGAAAAAATATTTTTTTTTTAAAAAATTTTTAGTAGTTTCCTACTAAAATTTTCTTCTCTGTCTCTCTCTAACACATTAAGTTCTTATGGAAAGTGCCAATAATATAAATTTTTCGAATTAGGGAGGATTTTCATGCATCCGTTTTTCCGACGAAATATATCCGTTTAACATTCTATTCTGACATAATCGTATATAAATATGTCAAAATAGAAGACTTTTCGGACATATTTCGACGGAAAAACGGATGCATGAAAATCCTCCCGAAGTCCGATACGTCAAAAATTTTGGGACATCAGAGGCTCATAAAATCTAAAATAAAAAATAAGGATCCGTATTTAAAAAAATAAAGTTGATGATGGCCGTCCAAAGACGAAACGTCGAATCTGAAATTTGGTAGCAACATCTTGTAAAGGGGAAAAAGTGACAATGATGAAGTGACATTTATTTTAAAATTGCTCTTCAAATAGACTCAGGAAAAAATAAAAATGATTTTGCAAAATTTCGGTTTTTTCCGAATATCTTCGGAAGTATTCGGAATTTTTCAAATTTCAAAACTGCATTTTATTGTTCATAAAATTGTGCAACTTTGCCATAATTTAACCGACCTCGTATCTCTTATAGTTTCCGATATCTCAATGGTCACCCTCGAATTTGGGACACCCTGTACAGGGTGGGCCAATTTGGACACTTCCTTATGGAAACACCCTTTATTTTTAGAGATAGAAAAAAATGAATCCCCCACTCTGAGGCCCAGATTTTTTTGAAATTTTGATTTGTGCAAACCGCTTTTTGATATCTTCAACCGTTTAGCCGCTAGAGGGCGATTCTCGATTTTGAGCAATATTGTGAACCCTTCATAACTTTTTTGTTTATAAAAATAATTGATTTCCGTAAAAACTTTCTGGAAGCACTTTTTAAAACAGAATTCAGGGACGTTCTCAGTTTTTTTCTATTTGGCGCCGATTTTTAGATATTGACTAAAGTCTGATTTTTTTCAATGGGACACCCTTTATATTAATAGCTCATTGAAGAGCTATGATTTTTCTGATTTTAATGATATAAAGTTCGATAGGTTTATCTCTAACCGTTTTCGAGAAAAAAAAATATTTTGGTTTTTGTCATAAGAAACAATGTATTAGAAAGAGACCTTTTTCATTTTCCTTACAGATATAAAGTCCTTTTCTAACACATTGCTTCTTATGAGAAAAACCGAAATTATTTTTTGTCTCGAAAACGGTTAGAGATACCCCTATCGAATTTCATATCATTAAAATCAGAAAAATCATAGCTTTGCAATGAGCTACTAATATAAAGGGTGTCCCATTGAAAAAAATCAGACTTTGGTCAATATCTCAAAATCGACGCCAAATAGAAAAAAACCGAGAACG